CTCCATAATACACATCTCGTATGCAATCGCTCCCCTGAGCGCTTTGCCATCTGTTATTTGGAATTGTACTAATTGCATGCAGGGCCTGAAAATGCAGAAGGACATGAAACTGCTTCAACTATTTAATTAATCTTTTTTTCCTGGGAGAAATAGATCTCCATTAATAATGCACGTTTCAAGAAGTCTAACGCACAGATTTCTTATGCTCCCCCAAAGCTATAAAGCCTTTTTTTCAGCCTCCACCTCCCAGGGAGAGGAGGAGGAAAAAGCCTTCACTGCTCATGGCTGCTGCATGGAAACTTCACCCTGGAGCCTTCCTCCTCCTCCTCCCACCGCTGCTGGCAGAAGCCCAGTCCAGCCGTGCGGCCAGGCGGGAGGGAGGTCGAAGAGACCCAGCTCAGGCTTTGCCACCCCGCACCCTCCACGTTGATGCTGTCCAAGTCTCCTTCCCCACAGCTGCAGGCGTGCGGAGAGCTTCGGTGTTTCTTTAAAGTAGAACATGTACATTACGTAAAATTTTGTTGGATTTATGCAGAGCAATATACATAAAATACATATCGTGCTCTTATAGATGTATTTTTTTTTTTTTAATAAAATACGAATGGCAGCTGAGGCCTGGTGAATAAGCCCAGTACAGAAGTTAAATCCAAGGTCATGGTACTCATCAGTAGAAGTCTGAATACCACCATGATTATTTGTAAGCGCGAGAAATAAACATAGTTCCACTACTAAAAATACCCTCTTTTTTTCCCCATTTTTCCCCCCCCTCCTCTTCAATATGATGCACTTTAATGTTAGCAAATATTAACTCTTCAATATCTGGGATATAGAAAGCTATTCTGGTTTTTCTCTGAAGAGAAGGCCAACAAATCAGCTAATATTTTAACATTACAGAAGCTGCTTTAAAATTTCCCGTGCAGCTGATGATACCAGCTTCTCATTTACCAGCTTTTAAATATTTCATTCATTCAGGCAACTGCTGTTGCCTCAGGCTTTAGGGTCAGAGACTCAGCAAATCTCTCCGTCGCGCGGGCTGATAGCTGTAATGGCATTGTCTTCCTGGCGGCTTGGCTTACCAACAAGGAATAGCTGAACTCCAGGGTCTCTGCAGCAGTTTTCACCGTTGCCGAAGCAATCGGGGGTCCGGCGCAGCGTGCCTGCTGTCAGCGAAGCCACAACAGCAGCGCCGGGCTCTGCTCGCTGGCAACGCCGGTTTGGGGTGCGCTGTGCTCTGCCGGGGCTCCCGGCCAACCTCGGCCTGAAGAACCAGGCCAGAATAAAACAGCTTTAACCAGGCTGACATTTGAAGGGCGCCTTTGAAACTGCTGCTATGCAGCGGTTACTGAAAATAAGGGATATGCTGAGCAGCACCAACGGGATCGGACCTTAAACTGAATTTGCCAACAGGTAACAACTTAATCAACAGTTCCAAAAGTACTAGAACACAAAAGCTATTCACCAAGTTGTGTCTTTTGGGGAGTGTGTTTGGTTTTTTTTTTTAAAACAGTATTGCACTTCAGCAAAAAGTGAACGCCTCAAACTGCTAATAAGGAAACCCTAACTGGTGGGTGTGCTTACTTTCCTCCTCCACTCACTTGCCCACGTGAATTAATTTCATTTTCTCTGCCCACACCCACCCCTGTACCGTGTTTTACACAGACAATAGGGGAACTGGGGAGTCCAGGATCAGCCCCCCGCCTGCCTGGGCACCCTCAGAGGGTTTGGTCTCTGCGACAGGAGCTGGCTCCTCCGCAAAGCCCCAGCAGGGCTGTGCTTTGGCTTTGACTGCCAAACACCGAATTTCATCTCACCCTCTACCAGGAGACGGAGCAATGCCTTCCCTTGGGGGGGGGTTCTACCATTTTCTGCTCCGGATACGCGAGTTGCTTACTGCCTCTTCAGCCTCTCCTGCCAGAGACGATGATGCTGCAATTTTCGCTGTCTCACTTCATGCCTTGCCAAGCATTTCCGACTCAGAAAGCCTATTTTAGGAACCTAATCAAAAGCATACACAGTCCAGTCAATCAGCAATCCATATTTAGGCGCTAGTGGGTAAAAGGCATTTCCTTCTCTTTCCAAGCAGAGCCCTACATGAACATGCAGAGGGAGGTTGGTGATACCATTAACATTATTGCTTAGAACATAAATTTTTCTGCTACCTTACAGGTATAAAACTTTCCTAAAGGTGAGAAAGATAATTTCTAGAGGTGTCTTTCAGCTCTGTTCCTCTCATTGCCAACACCTTCGCTGTTCTATCTCCTCAACGTCCACTGGGTCAGATTCTCCACCGATTTAAGCATTGACCCTCAAGGCACGGTCTCCTTCCCTCCACAGACACCCCATCAGTAAGCCTGCCTCCCTGCCGAGCCCTTCCCCAGGCCTCCCGCGAGTTTCTGTCTGAGGAACCAGCGGGAACACCGGGACCCGCACCCAGAGCCCTCCCCAGCATGGGTGGCAGCGGGGTGAGGAGGGTGCCCAGGTTCCTCCCGGCAGAGCTGGGTGCTGCCCGGCACCTCCAGCACCCCAAAGGAAGGCCAAGCTGGTCCGGTGCCAGTTCCCACGGTGCCGTCAGGATGCCCGGGCTGCCCTGGCCAGCACACACGCAGCTTTTCAGTCTTCTGGAGCAAGCACCCTCCCCTTGTCCTGCCGGTCCTCGTCACTGACCTTTCCTCAGCACTCCAGCCAGACTCATGCCGCTTTACCAGCGGTGTCCCAGCGCCTGCAGGGAAGGAGAACGCTCCAAGGCAGCATCACTGACAGCAGCGTAATCCCCTGAGGAATGCCTGCTTTACACCCCAGCTTTGTGCACATCCCCCTCCAACACAAACGAAACACCCGTCCCCTCCAAATGCTCTCTTCAGCAAGTCCTTTTCTGCCATTCATATGGAAGAAAGAATAAAGCAGCCCCTAAGACTCGGAAAGGATCACTTCTAGCGACTAAAGGCCAGCTCGGTTCATCCCACTAGTTTGTACAGCATTAGAATTACCCAGCCTGGGGAATATTCTTCTGGACACAGACGTATTTCTGTATAAAAAGTCTGACCGAAGGCATTACTGAGGAAAAACCCCAAACCTCTACTTCCCCAGGAATACTAACCTGCTGGTAATTCTAAAAGAGTTAAAACTCCAGTCCAGATGCCTGCTGGCAGCAGACGGGAGCCCAGCGTTCTGGGTAGCACCGTGAGAAATCTCTTCCCAACGATGCCAGGAGCTTGCACTGGGGTGCACGCATCCCGAGGATGTGCAGACACAGCCCCATTGCACGGCAGTGCCTGTGGTCTGCATGAGGCTGCTTAGTCCTACAGTACGTTTCACGCCCAGCATGCTGGCAGCCAGGGCCTCGCCGTTCCAGGGACGGATTCAGGAGCAGAGACGCAGAACGCTCCTGTGTCCCATCACCAAACCCCATTTTCCGACTGCGTCTCCGGGGGCAAGCAGGAGGCTCAGCCCAGCCCTCCCTGCAGCCAGGCGCAGCTCCCCGCTGGTCACCACCCCAGGCGCAACCTTCAGCACCCTTCTGATAAAAGGCACCTACTCCACCATTTTGTTTCTCTCCTCAACCACCGCAGCCAAGCGTGACTAAGGACTCGCCTTAACGCCAACAGCAGAGGTGAAATGACGTCTCCCTGGGTCTGGCCCTGTTGTTTGCAATAGCTGCCACGTGCACCAAGGCCAGCTTGTTATTCCTTTCCAATAAATGGGATACTTGAGTGACAAAAATTATGTTGCATTGGAATCGAACACAAGTTTAATTTTTATATTCAACATAAAGGAGAAAAACGCAGCAATCATTCCATATACATTCCATCTAAACAGGCTGTGCACACATGCAGGAAAAAGCCAGAATTACTGAAGATTCAGGGTATTTTATGCAAAAAGAAAAAAGCAGGGTGCTAGAAGTACATGCTTGTGGTGTGTTGTGATCAGTTTAAAACCAATAGCCAACCAGCATGTGCATCATTCAAAACTTCTAGGGCTTATATTTAATAGATAAAACGCTCATATAGAGGATATTTGCTCAAGACTGACAGCTGAGCTATGTTTCTTTTTCAAGCCTATAAAGCTACTGAGCCAATTTTCTTTTTAAAAATTCACATCTAAAAACTGTTAGTTTTAAGGATAGTTAGAACACATAATCCACAACTTGATAAGCAGACCATAAAACATACCGCAGTGCTATTGTAAGGCGAGGACATTCACAGACTTCCTTTATCTGACGAATATCCAGTGCTGTTTTGTTACGCTATTCCCCTCTAGTACAGGGTTTAAAGAAAGTGGTTATGGAGCAAGACCGATGCTTTTCTAAAATAAACAAAACCCGAAACCCCAAACATCTGCAGCGTTACAGCCATCCCCCTTGGTTTTCGAGCGCTCCCCTCGAGCTGTGCTGCTGAGGGACAGCAGCTCCAGCCCAGCCGCTGCAGGCGGCTCTCAGGGGCTGCCTCATGCTGCGTGAAGCCAGGTTCTGCACCACCCATCACCTGATGCAGCTGCGGGGCCTGGCCAGCATGACCGTGTCCCCTAGCACAAGGGAGTGTGACGAAGGGGACCAGGCACCAGCAGCCACCCAGCAGCTTCCGCACACAAGCTGTCACCTGGCCCAGTTGTTTGCACAAGCCTGAGACAGGAAGACATTGTGCAATAGGAATAGACAAGAAGCAACCAACACGATGCCACGTCCCCTACGCGGTGCCAGCTGGGGGCTCGGGCAAGGTCAGGCACACCAGCCCCTCTGGCCTTGGCCAGGAGAGAAATCCCAGGGCACAGTCCCAGCCGTTTATGGGGTTCTGAGCTCAGATGACAGCACTGAAAGCACACTTGGGTTAGAATCACACCAATTTTCCTGCAAGGGAAGATGAGCAACACTGCAGTCCAGAGGCTGCAGGGCAACACGACGAAGACGGCAATCACGCCCAAGAGTCACATAGCTCCTATTCTCCCACGCTCCTCGGTCGCACCCGGCAAACACCAGCCAGGCATATGAGAGCAACACGTCCACCTCACAGGTTCTCATTTAGCCACTCAATGTATCCGTTCAGCAGCCGGTGCCCTACCGCCAGCTCGGCTGCACCCGAGACAAACATCATCGCCCCGTGGAAGGCGTCCTTGGCGTGAACGTGCGTGACGGGAACGCCCACTGCCCGCATGCGCCTGGCATACATGACACCGTCGTCCCGTAAGACATCGTGCTCGCAGGTGAGGACATAGGAGAGGGGCAGCCCGTGTAGCTGGGCATCACTCGCCAGCAGCGGGGCTGCCCTCCGATCCAGAAGCCCCGGGTACTTCCCCACGAGCTCGGAGCTTCCATAGACAGGACTGGTGTAAACGTGGTCTTTCTTCAGCTCTTCAGGCAGCCAGTTGCTCCAGTTCACAAACTGAAATAAGTGGCTTGATTCAACTGGGATGTGAGTGTTGGAGGCCATTGCTTCCCTGAGAGATGGATCAGAGGTGAAATATTCACTCCAGAACCTGACCATAAGCGACTTGGATAAGAGGGGCTTGTTTTCATTATCTTGGTAAGCCGGCAAATTCAGGTCAAGGGTTTGAAGAGCAGGGTAAAGCAAAGCCTGCGCTTTGAGTTTAGTTTTGACTTCAGAGTCCTGTAACAGCTGTAGAAAATAGAAACAATTACAGAAAGTCAGTGGAAAAGCATTGGTTCTCTCACACTGATGGAAGACATTAAACATAAGGAACTAACATACGCGTTACAACCTAAGCACAATGAGATTATCAATAAAACCAGGATAGGTCAATTTAAAGATGTTCTAAATTTATAGGCAGGTTGCCTAAACCAGCATGTTGTACTAAAAATTCTCCAACATCAAATGTAATTTCATTTTGCATCTCATGTTGAAGGACAATATTTGAGAAACATTCTTTTTGAAGCATTGAGACTTTCCGAGGCATTTATGCTTTCCTAAGTAGTAACAAAGCCTTTTTTTATGACCATAGAAAATTTCTGTTCCTATAGGTTAAAAATCGTAGGTTTCTGAGGCTCCTTTAATCATTTCACACACAATTTAGAGCTTATCTATCTGCTGGCTTTTTTAACTGGTAGGCATCAGAACTCAAACTATGATTCTGTGCATTTTAGACATGTGAAAAATAAAATGCGATGAATTGAATACTGACATTTCTTATACGTCATCCTTTTTCCCCTCTTCACTAATAAATTTCTGCCTTCTCCCTCATCTTCTGCCTTCAGTGTCCATGGCAAATTCACAGCCTTTCCAAGTGAGATTCATTACAATCCAAAGAACCTCTCAAGAGAGCCACAACATTGCACTGACTTTACTTAATAAAGCCGAGCCAGAAGTGCAAAGGGCACTGAACTGCCTGTGATCAAACGACATGGGAACATTCAGGTTTGGGGTTTTTTTTTGCTGCTATTTACATATATGAGTCAAATTGCTCAAATACCCCTTTCAAACAACATCCCTAGCACAGTCAAAACGCGCTTAAGCAGAGTGCGATGCATGCCCTACTGCAGGGTACAAAGGTTTGGAGGACATCGCAGCATCCCAGCTGCTCTGATGCCATGAAGTGGCTGGAGCCCGTCTGCACGCCTGGAAGCTCGGAGCCCTCACGCGGCACGACACCTCGTGCACATCGACCACGAGAGGCTCTGGGAGGCGCGCTCACTTGGAGCGGAGGTTTTTGTTAGTCTTCTGTAAGTGTTCATGAAATGACAAAAAAAAAAATCCTGAGCTAGCAAAGCAGCTGTTCTGCATTACCTGTTGTGCCACAGCCGCAGCCAAGTTGCCACCGGCACTGTCTCCCACAACACAGACCCGGTCCGGGTCCACCCCGTACTGGGAGAGGACATTGCTCTGGAGGAAGAACTTCGTCACCGAATACACATCTTCAAACTGAACGGGAAAATGGTATTTAGGTGCCAGCCTGTAACTGTCAGAGGCAAGCAGAAGGGTGTTACTTGCTGCCGTGCACAGCGAAAGGCTTGCTAGCATCTGCCCTAGTCAATGAATGTTTATTCTTTTCTGCACCCAGAGAATTGGGAACCATCTGTCCATCCTGGAGAATGACATATTTTCTTACCCACCCAACTGCATAAAGCAACATCCAAAATGACCACCAACCACAATTCACCCCTGCAACCTCAACAGCTTTTGTTTACAAATACTGCAAGCTAGCAGGAAAGCACACGATCGAAGAAAAAGACATTGCAAAATTAGATTAAGAGAAATAGATTGGTTTATGCCAAACCCTCATCCCATCTAGCAGAGGAATCTCTTACTCAACAGATACCACGACAGCATTTAACATGTTTGAAGTCCACCTCGCCAGATGATCGTAGGATTTCATGCCTGCAACGAAATGAGTCGCTTTGAATATCCTCCAGCACATTTGAGAACAGACACACACACGACAGCATGTTCCTCTCTGCAGAAGCTTTCAGGGGACTTTCCAAAACCTCCACCTGGTTTTAACTGGCGAAATACCAGTTCCCTGACACTCTGTAGCAGCTCCCACAAAACAAGATGCAGCACTTAACACGGGCTGTTGAGATGTTCCATGCAGACCCCGGCACCAACAGCAAAGGGCTTACCTGCCCGTCCCACGCACCAGCCTCCGCCGTGGAAGAAGATCACGGCCCTTCTCAGCCCATCAGATGCCCTCCTAGGCACGAAGAGGCGGACGGGAACATTGCTGAACTCAGTGTCCGTCACGGTGACATTTTCATCGGATGTGGGCGCGATGTATTGGAAAGTTGAGATCAGCATCAGAGCTTCCATGTAGTGCATCAGACCCAGCCGGTCAGCAACCTCAGCCTAAAGCCCAAGACAAGGGAAAACAGCGTCTGAAACACAGCCTCAGTTACTCCGAGATGAAGTTTCCGTAAAGCCACCTGATGCTCTGCACAAGTCTGTAAAGCTGCTGTAGGAGCTGCCAAGCCAAACGCTGGAGGAGTCGCTGTCTTGCACGGCCACGCTGTCCGGCCGGAGCCCTGCAACTCCCTCACCCACTGCGACAGGCAGCTCGGCGGCAGTGGCCTGAAGGCAGCCCAGGGACACCACCACCTCTGGTCTGGGCCAAGGCAACAGCTGGAAGCACAGGCACAGAGGGTAACCAGGACTCAGAGAAGGTGGAGGAAAGCAGAATCAGCTGAAACCTCCTGAGACCCAACGTGAGGGTCTGGCCAACCAGCCAGATGTCCTTGTCTTTCCAGCTGGCTACCACAAGACCGAGCAATACCTGTGCTTGTGATGAGCTGCAGAAGCAAAAGCAGCTGGTGCTTTCGGGATGCCGAGACACTGGTGGCACAAATAGAAGGATACAACCATTTGACTTCAAACTGCACAATGATTTTTTTATGATCTGTTCCCTCGCAGTAGCCAAGAAGCATCACTGAAAGATAAGTACTCTTAAATTACTAACAGGAAATATTGTGTCTACTTTGAGATGTTAAAGAGGCAGCAGTATATCTTTGCCACTTTAACTCAGTCCAGCTCTGTTTAATTTCTTCAGTTCACATGAAACCATCGCATTGCTCACGCACCGCTGTTTTTCTGTATAACAAAGCAGCGCTCCTACTGAGCAGCAGAACAAGAACTGAGTCGTGTGTTTATTGTCCATTCCGTGTGCTCGGCAGAGGACACAACATTTCATCACGCTACCAGTGCCACTACACCTTCTGCAGCTCCCCCTGCACCGCCATCCATGGGGAGAATCCAGCTTTGTCTGAGCCACGCAAACCCTTTCCTGACAGGATAGTTCACAGCAAAAAGCTAAAAATAACCCTGCTACCGCCGTTCTGATTTCTGCCAGCGCTCTGCCCGCGAGGCGATCCCCTGCCAAGTGAGCCGACAGCCGTGCAGCTCCGGTGTGGCATCACCGCGGTCACCCAGCGCTGGCTCTAGCCCAACTCCGGCCGAGAATGATCCCAGCGACTCCTTGAGCTGGAGACGCCCCGGGACTAGAAGCAGCACCCTCCAGGAGGGGGAAGAAGGGCAATGCTGACTGGCATCTCTATCTGCCTGGTAAGTGCATTAGTTGGGGGGGGGTCTTAAAAAATACCCATAGGGTTAACTTTTTGGAAAGGTTCTTTTTCCCAGAAATCTTGAGTCCACCTCCGCTGTGCAGCCGTCCGAGCAAGAGGCATCAGGGGAGGCCACTGCCACGCCGGGCATCATCAGTGCCCCTGGCAGAGCTACACAGAAGGCAAGGAAAGCTTTCCCAATGGGCTCCACAGAAACACCCTGGCAGAAGAAAAGTGAGATGGTTCAGGGAGTTCAGCACCAAGGAGCTGCCAACTTCAGCATTTAACACACCATAAAAGCAGTTTCCTTTAAAATTGACATCATAAAACATTTATTATTAAATTCTATGTTCTAAATTAGATTACAGTTATTCTAAGATGCAAAATAAAATTAAAACAAACCTAGCAAGTAAACCTGCAGGTGAAATGCAAGCTCCAAAGATTAATATTTGGCAGCTTTGACTCTGACATCCTAACAATTTACGCAGATTAAAGCATCTCAATCCCTTTCACTCGGATTATTTTAAACCTTGATCATAAAAATGTGCTAGCTTTCATTACACTGAGTCTTTGGTAGACCAGAGTGAGTCCAAGTGAAAACATTTCTGAAGGCGTTTGCTACGGAATGTGCCAGAAACGCGGGTCCCGACAACTCCTTCCAAACCCACCAGCTCCCCGGAGGGGTCATCGCGTTCCACACAGCGGGCGCGGGGGAACTGCGACAAGTGAAGATGTGACCACGGTTTGCTCACACGCGAGCCTCACTGGCTTCCCCCCACCTTCTTTCGTCTTCATCTGATTAAACTGTGTTTAAAGAAACTTACTTCTCACATTACTTTTAAGATATTAAAAACATTCTAAAAAAACCATACAAAATTTTTAATGTACAACACAATGACACAAAAGAACAACGTCACAATGACTAGAAGACAAATACAGCCTTTGTTTTCTATACCGTGAAAGACAGAGTGAACACCTATCGAAACAAAAACCCGGCCCCACTGGAGACTGACTGCAGGTGGAGCACAGTCTCGGTCGTGTAAAACGCCGGCAGCACGCGGAGGCCCTGTTGTCCATACCCTCCCTAACGCCCAGCCTGCCGCGGCAGCTGGCAGCCGGAGCCGCATCCTGCCAGAGCATCAGAACAGTACGCACTGCCTCACGATTTCGGAGCATTGTATTGCCTAAGTCCTGATGACACAGTAAGGAATGGCTGGGAGGGCAGGGATAGGAGTGGTTTATTTTTCAGATGACAGAAAGGTATGAAGAAGCCAAGTTCAAATTTGCTTGAAAGCCATTTGCTGTCTGACTTGCGGAAAGTGAACAAAGAGCTTGGATTTCTAGTTCATTTCAATCAAAATCAGAAGAAATCTCAAACTGATTTGCATATTACTTCTCAGTTTAATGTGCACCACTCTCGTGCATAGCTTAAACACCCAAAAAATTACGAGCTGACACTGTGACCATCAAAGCACTGTTCTATATTCCAGGCCACTGCACAACTCCTTGTCTGAGCAGGCATGACCCATCCTGTAATGGCACCGATACCGCTTGGATCAGAACACTGGGTTTGGAAGATAACTGAATTAACAACAGGCCTAAGTTTATTAAACTGATTGGAACTCGTCAGCAAAACAGCCACTCCGTGACTGCTTCCAGCACCGCGCTGTCAGCTCTCCAAGGGAGGAAAGCGCCCTGGGAGATGCCCAGCGCTGACACGAGGGTTGCCGTGCATGCAGGCTCAGCCTTTGGTGTGGGTCGTTTCCCAGGGCTGCTCTCCATGTCAGTGCCCGGTACACAGCAGCACAGCCACGGGCGTTGTGCCGCAGGGAGCTACCGACAGCTCCTGCGCCCACTGCCGGTACCCTGGCCCCGTCATTGCCACCCCCAGCGACGGGGGGACCCAGCTTCCTGCACAAGTCCCCCAGCTGCCTCCTCAGACAGTGATAGAAATGAACAAGGAATAAAACCAAGCCCTGTCTTACACCTCACCTGAAGGTGAAAATCAGATTGAACTCAAAGTAGATTTGAGCTTACCAAGATATAAACTAGCCCCGCCTGCTGCAGAACCTGTAGAAGCTCAGCTTTCCCAGAGATGCTTTATTCTTCCCAGGAAGGATTTAAAAGAACCCCCCACTCCCCCCTACACACTTTATCTGTTCACCTCTTTAGAGGTGCAGCATCTGGCATTCAGGGTTTGGGGCTGCCAAGCACACCATCTAACCCTGCTTGTTTTGCTTTCTGTAACTTTTTTTCCTTTATATTTAATTATCTTCTACGCATAACCTACTTTCTCAGAAGACAGAGGCAAAAGGAACCCAGCTGGGGCCTTACTGGCAATACTGGGTGGTCATCACCACCAAATTTCGGAGCCGCCTCTCTCAAGACTGGGACAAAGCAATGCTGGGAGCTCTGCCAGGCTCTGGGGTTTGGCACCGAGGTGCAGACAAACGGGCAGTAGCTGGCACGCTGCACGGAGGGAAAGCGCTGGGCCTCACCATCAGCTCAAGGAAGACAAATGCCTACGCTTGCCAAAGCTGCGTATTTTTATCCACAGTGATTGCAGTTTACATAAATATTTCTCAGCTGTTGCATTTTCCCCTGAGGATTAGCATCTTGAAAAAATAAAGATATAGGTCAAAGTGAGTCCTGCTGCAATTCCACTGGTCTGTGAAACTCCCCTGCACTGGGAGGAACCCCCCAAGCTCCAGGACCAAGGCTTTTCGGTGCTCCCGGAGCTGTTGGTTCTGCAAGCGGACATTTCACACTGTGGAGAACCACCGGTCTGCTGCCTGCGGCTTCCAGGCCATTATCACGTAGAAACAAGAGGAAAGCCTGCCCTTATCTGAACAGTCTCACTGTCCCCGATCTCAGATTACCGCACGTTACGGGCACAGGAGGGAGACCGACCGCTTCGGAGTTCTGCATTCCTCATGCTTTGGAAAGCATTTTCCCCAGTCACTTCACCTTCCATCAGGGGAGCACAGCAGCCAAGATGAAAAAGCCTCAAGTTCTTTGTGAGGGAGGGGGCTGCTTTTGGCAGCTCACAGAGCCGGACCGCGGTGGCTGGGCTGGCGGCAGCCCTTGGGGCGCAGCCTTCCCGCAGCCGAACGCGACCACGGGCAGTTTGCGAGTGGGGCTGTGAAGGGCTGGAACCCAGATTGTGCTGCTTCCGAGGAGCCGGGCGGGAACAGAGGAAGCTTTGGGAGGATTTCACAGAAATTCAGGCAAGGAAACCCTAGGTTAGGGCTTCAACTAGGCAGAAAGACGTCAAATTGCATTTTATCATTTCTTCGTGTGTGTTACCCCAGACTGTGTGCACACGCAGTACTCCCGTGGTTCTCCTCCCCCTCTGCTCTGCCCTGGGGAGGCCCCATCTGCAGTGCTGTGTCCAGTGCTGGGCTCCCCAGTTCAAGAAAGATGAGGAGCTACTGGAGAGAGTCCAGCGGAGGGCTACGAGGATG